CCCAATGCAGGTCAGCCCCACAGAAAAGAGCTGTCATTTGTGTAAGCACAAAACCAAGGTGCAGTCGTTAGTTTTTATCACAAAAGTCAACTTCCCCACCTGAATGCAAAGTCACATTCTTTCACAAATAGCACAGTTATACTTCAGCAGCTTAGTCAAGGTCAATCTTGTGCTGCTTATTTGCTTATTACCCAGTTCCAGGGGAAAAAAAAAAAAAAAGAAAGAAAGAAAAGAAAAGGTTGATGGGGACAAATGTCATTCAGGGAATACAAATGCCTAAACTAGTCACATGACTAGAAAGCTAAATACCCTCAATCCTTACTGTAGTTACCAACAGAAATATTGTTTCTTAGTGGCTTTAGGCTTGGCTTCTTTTTGTTGTTGTTGTTGTTATATTTATTGGTCTTCTATTTAATGTTGTATGTTTTTATTAAATATTGCTTGATACCCATTGCTTTTAAACCTTTACTGTAAAAGAAAATACATTACAGGAAAACATCCTAAAGAGAGGTAGATATTAATGAATTACAAGGCAGTCGCTCCAGTGACCCCCACCATGATCACTCCCTCTCTCCTATCCCCTCATTTTTTTTCTTTTCTTTTTTATTTGGGGGGGGGAGTGCTGGGGATCAATCCCAGGGCCTTGTACATGCAAGGCAAACACTCTACCAACCGAGCTATGTCCCCAGCCCCCATTTTTTTTTAATGGGACACAGTAACTTCTAACTTTGCACTTCTCAACTGTCTTGTATCAGTGTCCCTCTAGGGATTTTGTTCACGAATTCCATTTGTTCCTCTGGGAGGGAACATGGGAACAATATCACCCCAGGTCTTCCATGACACCTAGGATGTCAGAGGCCCTAGCTTCTTAATCCACTTTAGTTAACAAGTTCACCAGATCAAATATATATTCTGCAACTTTCACCAAAATCTTTATGTCACTMATATATGTTCCATTTGATAAATTCTGCTGAAACTTTGATAATTTCTATTATGCTACCGGAAAGTTGTTTTCCTTGATGAATAAGCATCGTTTTAATGGATTAAACAAATGAGAACGAAGGACCACCATGCATTCTTTTTTCAATCTGGCCTGTTAAGTTGGGAGTGAAGATTTATGCTTTAACTTAACAAGAACCCTTGTTCTAGAATGGGTTGTATTTTTGCTTTTTTAAAAAAACGTAACATTTTCCCTTCTCTTCCTTCTGTGGTTTATGGAGCTGCTGCGTCCATCTTTCTCAGATAGGCAGGGAGAAGCTGAAAGCTAAGATCAGAAATGGGATGAAAGAAAACAGGGGCTACTACTACCTTTTGAGCCTGAATCAGGCTATGCCTGAAGCAATAACTGACTTTTTCCAGTAAGTGAGAGCCAATAAATTTCCTTTTGGATTTGGCCACTTTGAATTAGATTTTCAGTCTCTTAGAAGTTCTAACTAATAAAGAAAAAAACAGCTTTGAGATTATCTGACAAATTACTGTAATTCATGTTCTTTTTTTAATAAATGGGTAAAATTTTACAAATGTGAAACTTTTGGACATCATGTTCATGTCATGTCAAATTTATAGCAAAAACAGGTTAGAAACACATTCTTTCAGAGTAATTAGCATTTAAGAAAAATGACAAAAGCCTTTTAACTGCCTTTCTTACTGACAGTTGTCCCTAAGAGCAGAAAAGGGGAACTTGGTACAGAATCTTTAGACAGAATATCAAGAAAAGGTGGAGCATCACAACATCTACAAGCAATTAAATTTTTTTCAAGAAACACACAGTGTTCTAAGCGCAAATTTGGAACATACCTGCCAGATCAAATCAGGATCAAAATTAAAACTTGGAGATTCCTGCAGGAAACAGATTACAAATAACTTTACTCACTTTGCCTCCTTTCATTTTCATTCAGGTGATTTTAGCCCCCTGGCTCAACTGGCTGGCAGCAGATTCACTGACATCTGCAAGAGAACTACCTCTGCTTTGATGCAGGAAGGTGGCCTCTCAAGCATTCACTCCATGGAGACATACTCTCTCTCAACAATCCAAGTCCAGAGGGGTACACAGAGATCTACTAGAGCTACATGGCTGTGGTTTCAAATAGTGCATGGATTTAGGCAAGATTTTATAGACTTTCATAACAAACACCTTGCTTGAGTTCATGCAAAGTATGTAGGTGGGGATGATGGAAGTTCAGAAATTCACTCTTAGTTTCTCTCTAAGAAGTAAGAGACAAGTAGAAATATCTTGTCTCTTATCATCTCCCTGAAACCAAGGAGCTTTATTTACTCTAAGAAAACTCTTTTTAATTTTAGATTTTGCCACCACACTAGATGACACTAATGTCAAGGCACAAGATGACACTCAAGTTTACCTGAAGTTAAGATACAAGAGGGTCCCAAGTTTTATCTTCCAGGTTTAAGGGTCAGTTTGGTACTCAACTCTGAGGCCCACAATATTGGTTTCAAACATTTCCTCCAATTTCTAATGCATGAAATCGGATGAGATCACAGCTTGTCACAAGCTACACACATGGCCAAGAAGATGACCCTCCACCAGCTGCCTCAATAATTCAATTTAGGTGTGTTGAATATAGATGCTAATGGGACCCAGACTTCTCCACTGATAAAACATAAGGTATTCAATTTGTAAATTAATAAGCACCAAAAAAGACAACAGAAAAACTCAAGCTCAGTTTCCTAACATATGCACAAATATATATATTTGTGCAAAAATTGAGTTGTATGTGTATGTATGTGTGTATATGTGTGTGCATATGTATGTATACACATACATATATACAAAACAATTCAATTTTTTGCATTTTATATATATGTTAATATACATATATATGTATATATGTAGACACAGAAACATAATCTTAAGTCAAATGAAGATCTATATATATACATGTATAAATCTGCATATATATGTATACATATATATAGTGATATATATGTATATATATATATCGATCTTTGTCTTAAAAACATGTTCCTATGTCTAAAAATCAGCATCACTAGAATACAATAAAAAGAAAAATTCTAGACTCAATTTACTGATAACATGTATATATGAATTTACCCTAATAATCATGTTTTCATTTTTCATGCCTTCCCATGTAGATGGCTTAAATGAGTGTTCATATTTACTATTTTTCTGTTTATTTTCCAATAAGACATGATGCTAGAAATAGTAAACTATAATCCAACAAAATTTCTACTTTTAAAAGTTACCAAAATATAGTTGTTTTTGGATAGAGATATTGAATAAGAAAATACCAACCACATTAGGGGAGATGCCTCCTCCTGATTTCTCCAAAGATTTTTTTAACTTACTTTTACTTTTTTWAAAAAAATAATGATTTGGAAATATATTGTATTACCTCCACTTCTCTAATGCTATTTGTGTTGGGGACTGGGGAGGTGAATGTGGAGGTAGATGACAAGTAGGACTGAGCTACCCTTTGCAAAATAAAAGTCAAGTTTTTTGTCCTTCTGTCTTTTTTTCCTTTTTCTTCTTTTTCTTTCTTTTCTTTTATYTTTCTTTATGTCTTTCCTCTTTTTTCAATTTTTTTAAGCCTTAATCAAATTTCAAGCTTGGTTGCAATGTGAAATAAGGATGAAATCTCAATTATAAACAAACCACCGTCCCCCAAATGTAGAATAAGTATCTTTTCAAAATAAGTTACAAAATCATTTAAATTTAAAACAATTTATAAGCTACATCAATAGTTATTTTTAATCTTATTAGTATTTGTTATCTTCAATGATTCTTTTCAAGCCAATTTGCTGAAAATACATTATGAATGCTTTGACTCATATAACCTTATTTGGGAGACACACAGTTTAAAGCCAATGTTCTATACTACTTACCCCCCCACCCCCCCACACACATAATTCACCTGGATAAAGACAAAACACTATAAAGACTATGAAAAAAATCCCAAGTCAGAACTTTACATACTAAGAATTTAATAGTTCATGTTTGTTTCTTTTTCCCTAGGACTTGGGAAATTTTGGGCAGACAACTCAAAATCATGTGTTGCAAGAAAGACAGAAAACTCATTATCCTATTAGCAAGCTTCAGAATGTTCTTGTAGGCCAATAGTGTCCAGGAAACTCTGAGTATTAAACACAAGTATGGAACTTGCAGGCTGCAAACAGCTCCATTACAAAAGCATTTTTCTTAGTAGAACAATTTAAATCAAGAATTAGTTATACTTAAGACAAATATTTTAAACGTTTGCTTCCTTCTGGCAAAAAATGGAAGTAAAAAAATTTCCAATAGATACTGGACAAGCAACTGTGTTCCATTTAGATTTGCTTCTTAATCGCAGATTATAGCTTGGCCTTCATTTACTTCATTGTCTTATACATGCCCTAAATTCACTCAGAAAAAAAAATTTTTTAATTCCTTTAGTTTATGTCTATGCCTCCATTGCCAAATAGGATACTTTGTATTTAATAAATTATTGTTACCTCCAGACTTTTTTAAGGAGAAAATACTGGAGTCATAAGAAAGTATTTTTCTTTGAAAAGTAAATTTTGCTGATAGTATAATTCTAATTATTTTCTATTACGATGCATTTAAAATAGCTTCTCTTTTGTCAAATTCTAGTTTCTCAAAGGTATCTTTTCATTGTAATATCAACAGGGGTGGGGGATTATTCTAGCTTTAGAAATTTACTTTTAAAGCACATTTTTTAAAAAATCCCAAACCAAAAACCTCCCTTAGGGCTAAAGGCATTTGCCTTACTTTGGAAATGAACCCAGCTCCTTTCAGCCAAGGGATACTTGATACCTTATTCTTTTGCCTAGGAAAGGCATCCTAATTAAAAGACCAATAAATTAAATGCACTGAGAAAGGCAAAAAGATGCAGAAGCAAAACACACACCAGGGTGCCTAGTGAAAAACACAAGGCTCGTTTCACACGTTTGTTTGTTAGGTACCATCAAGTTAGAACAAATTCACAAGGCACAGCTGTTTTTGAACAAATGTGCTCAGCTCCTACCTTCATTTCAATGACAGTCTGGAGAGCCTTCGTCTTGGCTGGCTCGGGCTGAAGTTGGCTTCTTCGATGTAATTCCTGGGGAGGAACACGATAGAAATAAGCCTGACGGTTCATCCTTCCGTTACACCATGTCCTTTACACAGTTACCACTCAGCCCACTGGGTCCAGGTTCCGTGTTCACAGACATAAACAAGCCACAGGTGCCTCTTCCCCCACACTCTTCAGCATCCCTCCTGCCGGCAGCCTGCATTCTGGTGAAATGCTCCTGGCACATGCGCTATTTCTGAAACTTCCATCAATAATTAATGTCAACTGTGACAAAGCCAGCAAGTAATCATTGTCCAAATACTGTTCAACACTGGGGCTGATGCCCAGCCATCAAATCATAATTTACTAAATTACATTACTCTGCGCTCCCAACACAAACACGGCAAGGAAACAGAGGAAAGAAAATGACTAACGTGGTTGCAAATCCACTGCAAGCATGGCATTTTGCTAATGAGCTAGGTTTGAAATGAGCAATTGAAAACCATTTCAGTGCAACTGTGACACTTTTCAGAGAGATCTGATGAAACCCTGTGAATCTCTTGCTTCCAAATTTACAGTTTCCATCCTTGCTCAAAAAAAAAAAAAAAAAAAAGCAACTGTGGGTGATGCTTATGTGTCAGGATGCCAAGAAATTAAAACTGGCATTAATATCAACAATGTTAGAAGAGAGACACAAATGGTTAAAGCCACATGTGAACCCAAGAACTCCTGGAATAATGAATGTTTTGGGGGGGAAAGAGCAAACAACATATTTGCGATTTTAAGCTTGAAGGCTCACTTTTGCATGCTCTCCTCAAAAGAACAGTTTTGTCAAGACTTTGAAAAGTTGTCTTGGCAGAAGGGAGAGATAAAGATAAGGCTTGTTCAGGCCATGCTTTGGTTGTTTTACTCATTTATGAGAGTGGGGAATGACAGGAATAAAAAAAGGACTCTTGCCTGCCCAGGCTGCTGGTACAGGTGGAGGAATTCCATTAAGATTTGTTTCTGCTTCCAAAAAAAATCAATTTAGAGTCAATATGGAGTAGTTCTATGCTTTTAGAACTACTGGTTTATAACTTGAAATGTTAAAAAAAATGGGGAGGTGGGAAAGAGGACTAATATAATTTCTAGCTTTTTCAAAGTAAGGGTATTTAAAGTTAACTGTCTCTACTACTACCATTTACTGTCACCACCATTTCATAAAGATAGGGCATATGAATGTAAAAATTACCATAACAACCAAATCCCACATGAAAAGAGAGTCCAAATAACCTTTTGATCACATCTTATTGTGTTGTCTTTTATGCCAGTGGCCTTAGAAATCTTGACCATGGACCAAGATGCACTTGTCCAGGGATCAGCACTAGGGAAATCATTCAGTCTGAAAAGATATTTTCTCCTCAAAGCCATTAGTAGTACAAACCAGCAATCTTATGGAAAACCTCCAATTTGAAAACCGTGCTTCCTAATTACATAAAAATGCTCTCACATCAGTTAGGACGTTTTTTCCCCCTAACATATTCCTGGAAGGGATGGGGTCAGTACTATTGAACCTATTTTTTTGAATAGAGAAAGAGATCCTGTGTGTTTGGGAGGCCCTGGGCTGCAATGAGGTGGGGATATAAGCATGTTTAGGTTCCCTGAAGATGGCAGAGGTTTTCCTGAAGGAGTGGTCTTCTAGGCAGTTGTCCTTTTTTAAGCACCTACAGTGTCCCTTGCACTACCTCTCTCTTGCAAGTCTTAGCACTACCAAATGAAAAAGATGTTCTATATGGTGAGTCCAGTGGGTTTCTGGTACCCATTTAAAAAACAGTACCCACCATGGCCAACTTCAAGTCACCTGAGTGGCATAACTGAATACAGAGTTGGGAAGTGCAATGATTTGGATATGGTTTACTTGTGTCCCCCAAAGTTTAATTTTTTAAGTATGGTTATGTGGGAAGGGGCAGGGCCCTTAAGAAATGTAGCCTAGTGGGAACTTATTAGGTCATTGGAGATACTGTCCTCAGAAGGGATTAAGGTGTTTTTCATGGGACTCTGGTTAGTTTTCATAAGAGGGTTTTTATAAAAGAGCAAAACTGGCCCCTCCCTACTCACTCTGTCTTCCTGTCTCTCCATGTGATCGTTCCTGCTCCTATGCACACCTACCATGATGTCCTATAGCCATAGGGGCTCTCCTCAGAGCCAACACCAGGCTGTTTGTACTTTTAACCTCCAGAACTATGAGCTAAATAAACAAGTACCTAGTGTCAGGCATATTGTTATAGCGATGGAAAACTGATTGATAATGGGCACAATAACACACCATTGTGTAGTGTTTTCTGCAGACACAACATATGTAATAACCTCAATATCCTAGATAACAGTAATGTAATTAAAAACTAATGAGTTTTGAGTTTTCATGCAATTTAATTATGAGTTTCTAAATTTAATTTGTAACATTAGTTGGTAGAACAAGTTTCAATCAGCTTTCATGAATCAGAACAACCCAGTTTTAGTACACTAGGGGGTAAATCCTAGGAGGACTTCAATGAACTTCATAAAAAGCCGCTTAGCCCTCAACATTACCTGCAACATTGTTGGAGTTCTCTGAACCAATACCATCTCATAGAAGAGAACATAGAAAATAAATCACTCAGAATTTTTCTATAGTAAGTGGTAGAAGAGAAATAACTTTCACAGATCATGAGGTCTAATATCAAGTGGCATCCAAATTATACTCAAAAAGAAAGACTGAGAAATAAAATCCATGATAAATTTATACCATGAATACTGTTCCAGAATAAAAATTTTGAGATAATTTGAGGAGAGAGGTTAAGCTTGCACAAAACAAGTAAAAATAATCAAGAACCAACTAGGCAACAGAGTGAAAATAAAAAACATAGGGTAAAGGCATGTGCTATTATAATTTCTGCCAAAAACAAAAATATTGTTAAGGAAAATTGTGCAATAAAAAAGCCAAACTTATGGCAATGGTTTAGCAAAAATGGAAACAGAGTTCTCTTTTCTAAAATTATACAAATTCTATTGTAATATAAACCAGCTCAAAATCCAAACGGGGCCCTTGTCCTCTGTGTCACTTCTTTAAAAAAAAAGAGAGAGAGAGAGGGAGGGAGGAATAATTCTAATTTTCTTAACTATCCTATTTAAGGATAGTTAAGAAAATTCCTAAGTTGTCAGGTAAAGAGGATTATAACCTAGTATCCACACTACATGGAATGTGTAAAAGTCCAATCTAAGACTTTTGTCCACCTCTAAGCACTAAACATAATTAAATAACAATGAAGAGGGGAAAATGCTCACTGTGCCTATGACAGAGGATCAACTGCCCAAAAAAGATTGATGCTTCTCTTTCAAAGAGTAGAGTTCTTGCCAGGAAGCCCATCACTACCACCCACACACCTTTGTATCTAGATGGGTTTTATTCCTGGCCAGAGGAATGTGGAAAGAAATGAAAAACTTGCCTTCCATAGAAACTTCCCAGTTAGTCCTCCACCCTCCCTCTTGTCTGCTGTCTAGAGGTAAAGGACTCCAAGACCCAAGAAGACAGCAAAGCCCTAAGATAAACAGAGCCTGGGTTCCTGAAACACTATTTGAAAAGGCTGTTGACACTTAACACCAGATGGGGGTATGAGTGAAAATTAAACTTCTAATAAGTCTCTGAGTTTCCAGCCTCTTTCTGTGAAAATCCCATATTTCTGCTTTAAAACCCTATCAGTTCTGTATTGTTCGTTGCTTTTGAATCACAAAAGAGATTTAGAGAAAGAGAAAGAGATTGTAGCATATGATCGCTTGCCAAATTTTTCTAAATAGATAGTAAGATAAGTTGGCTGCTATATGCTCTAACTATCCCTAACTACCTCAGAGAATCACCCATTGTGCACCAATCTTAACTCACGGATTTCCCTAGGAGCACCTTGTGTTCTCTCAAACAGGAAGAACAAGATTTAACTTATTCTGATAGATTTCAAATGATAGTATTAAGTCATCAAATACCGTGGCACTTAAAAGAGATCTGTGACCCAGAAAACCCTTAAGAATCAATTGGAATGTGCACGGTTTTGTAATTTTCCGAAATACCAGCTGTCCGTATTGCATTTTGGTTTTTGCCTTAACAATTTTCTGTTATTACAATTTATCTGTATAAATAATCATTTCCTACTCTTTCCCCCCATTTTATAGTGTTTTACTAAGCCTCCCAGTACATGGGGGGAACCCAACTCTATTTTAGGCCTCTTAAATATACAATAATTTTCTTCCTTCTGAAACATGTTTATTCCTTCAATTTGGGATAATCCTCCATGCTTTTATGCTGTTTTGTATACAGGAGTCATCAAACTGTAGCTGACAAGCCAAGTCCAGCCCACCGCTTTTTTGTTATTGTTGTTTTTAAATAGTTTTATTGGAATATTGCTATGCCTACTCATTTACATACTGCATATCAATACTTTCATGCTATAGTGGTAGAGTTGAGTAGTTGTGATAAAGACCAGATGGCCTGATAAAGCTGAAAATATTTACTTATATGGCCCTTTACATAAGTTTGACAACCCCGAGTGTAGGATGTCTTTAATACTCTTTCTAGCAATGTAAGGAAAGACATCTATTCCTCATGTGGTAGTTCAAAATTCACATTTTTTATATTCCCTTTATAAGGTAAAGCCTAAATATCTTCCCCTTCACTGTAGAATGGACACAATAATTCACTTGTAACAAACAGAGTGACATGGGTGACTTCTGTGGCTTGGGCATTAAAGATATTATAACTTCCTTCTTGTTCACATCCTTGGATCACCTGTTCTGGCCAAAGCCAGCTGTCACACTATGAAGCTATCAAGCTGTCCTATGGAGGGGCTCATGTGACATGTAACTGAGGTTTCTTGACAACAGCTATGCAAAAGAGCCATCATGAAAGTAGATAATACATTCTAAGTCAAGCATTCACAGAACTAGAATCCCTGTTCAAGAGTAACCATAATGATTATTACCATAAGCCACTGACTGCAGTAATTTGTTATACAGTCATAGATTACAAATATGTTCCAAGA